GAGGAGGAATGCGCAAGCTGAACTTTCACATTGTTTTGGCTGTGTTATTACTAGGGAGTTTCATAGAAGACTTTCTGCCAAGGCCCATGGTAACTTTGCTCGCGCAGTATTTTGCTGCGTACTTCACCTTATTAATTATGCATTCAGGATTTACCGTGCCCTGCTTATGCAATCCTGTGGCAACAGAGGCAGAAGTGCTCACTGCTCCTGAGACCACGTGCCACCTACCACTGATCATATACATAAACATGCACCACTTCAAATACAAGACAACAAGGTGCAGGGCTGGATGAACACAGCAGGCCAAGCAGCATCATAGGAGCCAAGAGCTGGACATTGTAGTCTGCTGTTCTACCATTTTTGGGTAATAAACTGTTGCCGAAAGGGAAGCTGGTACCCAGTTTCGGAAGAAGGGAGTTAAAGGATCTGGTATTGGAGAGGAAGGCCATTGTTGGTCTTGTAGACAGTTGAAGGGAACTACGGCACCAGTTGCAGCCAGCTGGATCCAAATAGTGACCTAGGTCAGTGCCAATTCCTGGACCAAATGGAATGCCTAGCAGTGCTGGGAGAAGGTTAATAACGACCCCTCTTTTGCTACCTCACACACACTCTTTCTGCCACTGCACAGTGACAACACTAAGGTTTTATGGTCTGCAGCTCTCACATCGTATACATCATTTCCACACAACAATTCTCACCCACCTCACCCTCCTAAACTCTTCCAGCCCTCTATACTTCCTATTCACTTATTCAGGACATTCCACCATTTCTACACCTCCCGCACCACCACTAACACCAACTTAGGAAGCACGATGGCTCAGTGGTTAGCACTGCTGCCTCACAGCACTAAGGACTCAGGTTCAATTCCAACTTTGGGCAACTGTGTGGAGTTTGCACGTTCTCCCAGTTTCTGCATGCGTTTCCTCCAGGTGCTCCAGTTTCCTCCCACTGTCCAAAGATGTGCAGGTTAGGTGGATTGGCCATGCTAAATTGCCCATAGTGTCCAGGGATGTGCAAGCTAGGTTGGTTAGCCATGGGAAATACAGTGTTACAGGGGTAAGGGTTGTGGGTCTGGATGGGATGCTGTTCGGAGGGTCGGTGTGGACTGAATAGCCTGCTTCCACACTGTAGGGATTCTGTGATGATAACAGTTCTTCTATCCACTTTCATCTCAGTCAGTCTCTCTTTTTGTCCCATTGCACGAGAAAATGTCTCATAAACGGGCAAAGAGGCCCAACACAGACAGCAGTTTGGCCAAAATTCCTCAATCCCTATGACGTGATGATTATTGAAATGGCTGGACAAGACAGAGTCCACTTGTGTGGGAATGCCAAGACCTCTGTGTCGAAGCAAACCAGAAAACCTCATTATGCTGTGATGATCTCCCATTCCCACTCCCACCACAGTGAACATCTTCTTAAGATCCTTAAGCTTCTTCCCCAACTGCACAAATAATGGCTGCTCTTTCCTTGCAGAGGAACCACCAGTGCCCACACATCTGCCATCCCAAAGAAACCAGCCCATCAGCTTCTCCCCTACTTCTGAGGAAGAAACCACAGATTCCACAGAGGATGTACTGTCAAGCCTTTCTCCTGCACCCTTCACCAGTTTAGAGACTCGGTTTATTTGTTTACGACCTTTTGAGCACATCACTGTGTTTCTGCAGCTGGTCAGGAAGAAATGTCCCAGGCTGCTGGCACTCTGACGACTGCCAGAGTACAGGCACCTGGGCAGCAGATGAACCCATGGTGTCAGCCATTAATAAACTTTGTGGAAATGCTTAGGCAGTCATTGGAACAGCAGTCAGGTTTGTCAGAAGCTGTCAGTAAACTGGGTCACAGGTTGAAGAGTCTAATGGTTATCAGTACTGCGGTAGTTCCAGTATGTGTGCATCTGCCTATCTCTGTGGATAGGTTCATACCTGCACTCTATCATTGTAGCTATTGTTGCTAAGCGTCAGAAGCGGCAGGGTTGGTCGAAGATCCTAGACCGCACTCGAGGTATCCCTTCTTCTCAAGGACACTACCCAGACAAAGGTAGGATCACACACAGTTCCCTTCTCCCCTCAGAAGTTTCCTCCCAGGACACTCAAGAAGTGCCAAGCTCCTCCAACTCTTGTCTGCATGCAATCGCAGAACCAGTGGAAGTTGCAACCGAGGAGGATTAGAGTGCATCTGGATAGGATGCCCTTAGCATATCTGGGCCCACTATCTCCAGATGCTCCCTATGTTAAATTTTCCAGGTGAATAAAATCCATTACAGTGCAGGCTCTTTCCACCACAGACCCAGACTCCTGGACTACACCTGGAAGCAAAGAAATAAAATGGCAGTGATGGCACATCGGTAGCATGGGTGACAAATCATTTTAAATACACTTTCACATCAGAAAATAAATATGCACTTTCAATTGTCACATGTCTGATCGACTCACTTTAGTTGTAGGACTTGGTTATATAACCAGCATATTAGGGTTAGGCAACCTCTTCTTTATCCCACAGACGATACAAGTTATATTTCTCATCATGTAAGAATTTAAGAATTCTTACATTTATGAATGCATTGAAGACTTAGTACCTTGCATCGAAGACTTAGTATCTTAATCAAGAGATCACTGAGGGCAAAAGTAACACGAACATGTTGTAATCGGGCCTCGACCACACTCATGTTCAATATGTATGGCACTTTGTGCTTGATTAACACAACCTCATTCAAGGATGGATGATGAGCAGTTTTAAATGTTTGTGTCATGAAATCTAGTGCCATTGACAGAAATAGGTACACCCCTCCCACAGAATAAAATAAAAGTAACTTACTCTGCACACTGTGAATGAGTTGGCAGCCATTTTCTTCCCTATTATGCAGTTGGGGGTGGTCGAAAATGATGTACTATCTAGGTCTAAAACCTGTGAAGCTTTGCCTGATAGTTAAGATTCCTAATCTCTCCCTCTCATTGTCCCCCACCACCTCCCTCTCCATCTCAGGCTCCCTCCACTCCCTCTCCATTCATGTACAGTTTTGTGAAGCTGTTCTTGCCACCTCTATCATGTGTCAAACTCACCACATGCATATTCAGCCCTTTCATTTGACATTCAATATCTCCATTTTTCCTACTATCCAGCCATCAAAGCCAGGGGTATGGTCACTTAAACAACCCACCCAACCCCCAGTACCACAGTCACTGAAGCTGTACCAGATTTTGTCCTTGTATTTGGAATTGACCCCCATCCCTTCACTGTCAACATCCCCTCAGCATTGCAGCATCATACATCCCATCCCGAGACTTGCGTTTCCTACTTTCTACGTCACTACGTGGACTGGCTCCAGATAATCCCACTTGATGTTTACCAGTCAAATCCCCAGGACTGACCTTGGTTTACCCCTTGAATTGACTTGTGAGGACTGTCCTGACCAAGCACGGTGCAACTCCAGGACTGATTGTCTCCACCACTCCCTGACTACCTGTGATCCCCAGACTGCTTGTACTTAACCTTCAGGACTGATCTCAGTGCAATCCCTGGATTTCAGGGACATATGTAGCCAGGGTTGGGAATCTAAGTACCTGACTAATAGTGGCCAATCCCCTGGATAGAGATCGAATGATACACTTGATTGTGAGCATGGCAACCCTGACTGACAGTAGACCCCTCACGTATAGACAGGATGGTTAAAAATGTACAAAAACGAAGTTGCTGGAAAAGCCCAGCAGGTCTGGCAGCATTTCGGATCCGGTGACCCTTCCTCAGTCCTGTTTTTTCCTTCACAGATGCTGCCAGACCTGCTGGGCTTTTCCAGCAACTGTGTTTTTGTTCCTAATTTACGGCGTCCGCAGTTCTTTTGGTTTTTATGGTTAAAAAGGTGTTTGGCACGTTTGCCTTCATTGCACAGTCCTTTGAGTATAGGAGTTGGGACTTTATGTTGCGGTTGAATGACACATTGGTAAGGCCTATTCTGGAATACTGTGTCCAGTTCTAGTCGCCCAGTTATAGGAAGAATATTATCAAGCTGGAGAGGGTTCAGAAGAGATTTACCAGGATGTTGCTGGCTATGAAGGTTTGAGTTATAAGGAAAGACTGGATAGGCTGGGACTTTTACCACTGGAGAGTGGGAGATTGAGAGGTGACCTGATAGAAGTTTATAAAATAATGAAAGTTATAAATATAGTTAATGCTAGTTGTCTTTAGCCTAAAATCGGGAGTTTCAAGACTTGGGGGCACATATTTAAGGTGAGAAGAGAGAGATTCAAAAAAGACGTAAGAGACAAATTTTTTACAGTGGGTGGTTCGCATGTGGAATGAACTTTCTGGTGAAGTAGTGAATGTGGGTACAATTACAACATTTAAAAGACATTTGGATGGATATATGAATATGAAAGGTTTGGAGGGATATGGGCCAGGAGCAGGCAGTTCGGACTAATTTAGTTTGTGATTATGTTTGGCATGGACTGGTTGGACAGAAGGGTCTGTTTCCATGCTGTTTGACTCTATGACTGGTCTCCTTTGATTTTCAGAGTGGCTGAAGAACGTGAAATGTATTTACCGCACAAGCTGTTGCACTTGCTATAGGTCTGATATTGACATAGCACAGTGCCGTTCGGCAATGTGTCCACCCCTTTAATGTTCAGTGATGTCAACATGACAGGCTGCCAGGCTTTTTGTCTGCACTAAGAAGCAAGCCAAGCTAGAAATGTTGTAGACTTGTAAGTTCTCATTGAGATGCAATGCAATAAAAGGCACTGAAAACCAGAAATGCTGTAAGCATCCAAATAATCACCAAGTGGTTTAAGAAGGCAAGCTAATAGCTATAAAATGCATTCTGTTGAAATACTTGAGACGGATGTGTGATATAGCATGCAGATCAACCTCTCAGGAACATTGCAATGTAAGGTATCCATGAATTCTGCAATCCAGTGCTCATGTGCTGAGGTGGTTTATGAGTTAGCCCAAGATTGTTCACGATGATATGAGGCTGGTGTTTTGCTGATACCAATTTCTTTGGTGAAGGTTGAAGGCAGTCTCTATCTATGAAGGATGCATTGAGATATTAGTGAATGAACTTTAAGATGAAGACCCGGAGAAGCAACCAATGAGCTGCAGCCAGGTAACTACTCTGATTTTCAAGTCGGGTATTGGCAAAATTAGCTACTAATGTCATGCAAATGCACTGAGTAGCAAGATTCAGAATTCACCATTTAAGCCTGAATGGGAAAATTGTATTTCTTTTTCTGAACATGGAGAATCACATTTTTTCATCCTCAGCATATTTTCCCCACTTTTCTTGCCATTGCCCATGCTATTGAAGGGCTAGGAAAATTCCGCCCTGGAGGGTGGAGATGGGTTTCTGCAAAAGTATGTTCAGGAGCCAACCAGGGAATCGGGCGATTTTGAATTTGGTGTCGTGTAGTGAGAAAGGGCTAGGCAATTAATCACAGGGAACAAGAAAACTGGGTGGCTGAATCGTTAGGCCAAATCACATTTTGGAGCCATTTGTAGAGTAGCAACTGTCGAACCCCAGAGAAAGTCAGTTGCTGACCTTCTCAACAGAGGGTAGCAAGCAATGAAGAAGGATCATAGAAATCCACTCTCACCCTGACGCAGTTTTTCACAATTTTTCTCTTAAACATGGGACCAAAGTACTAAGTCATAGAACCTTACAGCACAAAGGGACCATTCAGTCTATAACTAGCAAATTGAGCAAACAGCCAATTTGTCCCAGCATTTTCCCCACAATACTTCAGATTAGATCTCTTAAAGTTCACATCAAACTGCTTTTTAAAGGTCTCAATGGAATCTGATTCCATCACCTTTCCAGGTAATGTACTCCAGATTTCAATAAGTGAAGGATTTTTTCCTGGTTGTCCTGCCAAATATTTCAATCTTCTGATTTCTGGTTGCTGACCTATTTGTCAGAAGAAATAGTTTCTATCTACTTTCTCTACCTAAACCTCTCATAGTTTTGAATATCTTTATTCACTTTACTTTTGCCATTCTAAGCACAATTGCAGCTTCTCCCAACTGCTCCATATAAACTAAACACCCTCTTCCTTGGTATTATCCCCGCCCTCTTTTGCATCGACTCCTGGCTATTGTTCATCCCTCTTAAAATCTGGTGCCCAGGATTGCACACAGTATTCCAGCTCAGACCTTACCAGAGATTTCTAGAGATTTAGGGTGACTTCCTTGTTCTTGTATTCAATACACTATTAAGAAAGCCAAGTATCCTATATGGTTTTAACGTCTAACAGATCTGAGGAAGGGTCAGCGCACCCAAAACATTAACTCTGATTTTTGTTCCCCACGGATGCTGCAGGAACTGCTGAGCATTCCCAGCAACTTCTGTTTTTGTTCCTGATTTACAGCATCCGCTGTTTGTTCGGTTTTTATCCTGTATGGTTTCTTCAACTTTCCCTGCTACCTTTAGAGATAAGTGAAATTGCATCCCCCAAGTCACTCTGCTGCAGCATTTCAAAATAATGTCATTTAGATTATAAATCTGATGGCTGCAACAATAAAGCAAGAACTGTATCAGAGCTCTGCTTTTTGCAGGAGTGTGCAAGTGCAGTGAAAAATCTGATTTGATTCTCAAATAGCTCTTATTCAACAATCAGCCTTTGTGCCTTGTGATAAAGACTAAAATTTAAGTGCTTTATGATTCACATTTTATCTTCGCAGGGATTTTGCAGTCGTATTTATTGCCAGAATATTTGATGTGTGAACATGGATGTCAGTACTCAAGAAATACTTGATGAAATCAGGACCTCTCAGGAGCAAGGTGATGATGGAAACTTGTTTTACTTGTATGTGGCGACCCCTGGTGGAGCTCCAAAAGACATCCATAAAAAATTGGTAAAGCCTTTTCTGCAGGAGCGTGGATGGCAGAAAGTCAGCTATCCAAACACTGGATTCAGGTACAGAAATCAATTGAAGTAATCTCTTGTGAATTTTAGACTTGCTGATGACCCTGCACCACTACATCCTGAGTCGTTAAGCTCAAACAGTCTGTTCACATGAATGGTCTCCTATTAAACTCTAAGTCGTATTGCATCCTTACATCCTCTCTCACAAACGCTGCTTGTTTCCATCCCGCAACACTGCCACTGACATTAGCTGTTACACTAGTGAAAGAAACATCACACAGGCCTCGAACACATCTCGCTTAGCTACAACTCTTTTCCAGCAGAATGATAAAACATCAAGACTGACAAATGAGATATATTGGTTCTACTTGTCTTATATACTTCAAAATAGAGGACTAGTATGTTAATTTCTAAATATTACTGTTTTTTTGCTGTCTTTTCTGCGCTAGACCCATAAATAAGGATTTTGATACTCTACCTCTCCATTGTTCACCCACAGGCTCTAAATCTTAGTTGCTACCACTTTTACTTGCCAGCCATTTTTTTGTGCTCTGAACAGCCTTCATATTGCTGTAATATACAGAAGCAACAATTACATCTTACTCAGTGTTAATCAAATGTGTTTCATTTGCAAGCAGTCATTTAAGGATATGCAATTTCCCACCCTATCTTTTTGGTAAGCTTCCAGTGCTACTCACAGTAAGGGCTAGGAACTTGCCACAGATAAATAATGACAGTGAACCCCAGGATACCTGAGATGAGCCCTGCTGGAAACTATCAAGCTCATTGTATGATTACTTTACCTTGAGGATTTGAATCTGGCTTATGGGTAAATAAAGGAGGTTGGACCGTATAGTGGAATTGCTTCACTTATCCATCTCATTTTTATCAGCAGTGATGATTTGTTTAATAGAGTGGCGACACTAGAACTAATTCAACATGTCAATTTATTCACCCTTGATTTATATTTAAATGTCTTTGTTTTTTATTATTTTTAATTGTGTAAGCTCCTGTTTTGCTGTGTGAATAAATGTTGCAATGAGAAGTTGTGGAAGGTATATCATATGCCATGGTCCTCTTCACACATCCTTTGTTTATTTCTTGCTCATTAATGCCCATCTATTGCAAACTGACTGTCAGGTTAGAGATGAAATCATAGATATTGCTATTCAGATCAACTAGTTTTTTTTGTAAAATCCAAGTGACAAGATTGCTTTGGATGCCAAAAGAAAGATAGTTAGTGCAGTAGTGCTATTTCTGACATCGAGGGAATATATTCAGTAATCTAAAAAATCTAAGGTAGATTTAACATGGTTATTTACAGACACTATCTAATGCAATATCAGTAGTTCAGTACAAATGAAGCCAGTGTTGTTAGTTATAATCACTGTTGCCAGACTGATTGGCACCAACCATTTCCAGTTTCTAGTTAGGTCTTTAATTCTTTTGTTTCCAATTTGGCTGATTTCTTTAGCTATAAATGCAAAGATCATTAACATTATTGATAGTTACACAGACTGCTTTCTCCCACCACTGTTTTTGTATTTATTTTATAAGTCACGCTATCCCAAATATCCTTTCTTGAGGACACTGATTGGAATAGAACCTGAGGCCACCTGCAACCCTCACACACATGACAATTCCACATCTATGATCCAATTCACTGAGGAGAGAAAGATTATTCAAACATTAAGGACATTATAGTCAGCCTTCTACTGTTGCCATTAGCGCCCATACCCACGAATAATCTTTCTGCGAGGGAATCGCAGGAAACTGTTACAGAGAGGTGGTGGGGGCATTGTGGTCATGTTGCTGGACTATAATCCAGAGGTCCAGGTTAACGTTCTGGGTCGCAGGTTCAAGTCCTACCACGACAGCTGATAAAACTTGAATTCAATAAATCTGGAAGTAAATGTTAGTCACGGTAATGATATCACAAAATCATTGTTGTCATAAAAACCCATCTGTTTCATTAGTGTTCTTTAGCAAAAGAAATCTGTCATCCTTGGTTTGACCTATATGTGACTGCAGATCCACAACAATGTTATAGACTTTTAAATGATAAAGCCACTCAGTTGTATCAATCCACGACAACAGCTCAATGAAAAATCCCTTCCTAACAGTACTGCAAGTGTGCTGACACCACATATACTGCAGTGGTTCAAGAAAGCAGCTCATCACCACCTTTCCAAAGGCAAGGAGAGACAGGCAATAAATGCTGGCCCAGGCAATAAATAAACAACGCCCACACACAGCGGAACAAATACATTTTTATAAAAAATCTCAATAATGGAAACTCAGGCTGAGATTTTTATTTTTCTTCCTGGCCAGAAGCACAGAATGAAATGCAACATTCTAATTCTGTACTGTGACTACTCTTTCAGATGCCCACCTCTCTCCTTTGCTTCCTCCCCCAATCCATCTGCACCGCTGCAATGTGCCATATTATACAACTCGAATGGATGAAAATCATATGCTAAGACAGAGCAGTTTTGGGATGCTTTTGGACTTCAAACAACATGAGAAACAGGATCTGAAGTAGGCCACTCAACACTTCATACTCGTGGAGTATTCAATATGATCATAGTTGACCTTCCATTTCAACAGCATTTTCCTGCACCATCCCCATACTCCTTTGTTTTAATCTGTAGGCAACTACCAATCTCAGCCTTGAACATATTCAACGACTGAGCCTCCACAAACTTCAGGAGCAGAGAATTCCAAGCATTCGACACCCTCTGAGTGAAGAATTCCTTCCTCATCTCAATCCTAAACGACTTGCCTTTTATTATTATGATTAAAATTGTCATCATATGATTACAGTCATATCTTCAGCTTTGTTTCCGAATCCACTGAAGCTAAATGGATTCTTCAGACCTTTACAAATGCTTTTTTTAGATTTAAGACTCTACAGAACTACATGACTTTCAAACTTAATGTAAGATTCAATTATATTTCTGCCATTAGGCTTCTATATGTCAAGCTTATGGATTAACCCCTCATCATTCCACAATACCAGATCCAAAATAGCCCTTTTCCTTAGTTGGTTCCTCAACATACTGTTTCCGAAATCATCTTACGTACATTTCAAGTATTCATCCTCCACATCAGTATTAATGAGTTTTACCTAGTTTGTATTGTAGTGATTGTAATGAGGTCAGCCAGGTGGATCTCAGAATATGAGTTCCCTGATTGGGACTGTTAACCTGGTCAAATCAGGAAGCCCCGGCTGACAGATATAAACATGAGTCTCAGAGGTTTTGTTTACTCTGAGAGCTGTCTCTGAGGAAGCTGGACTAGCGTCAAGTACTATGCACATGTAAATAAAGGGTGACTTGTGATGGGATACTGGCCTCTGTGGAGTTATTTCAGTGGCAACAAGAGAAGAAAATGCTCCTGAAGAAATTAGTTCGCAACTGTCATCTTTGAGTGGCAGTAAGCATTTCTGGCATTATGCCGTTATTTGGGAAGCTTGACTCGTTCAATCTTGCTATCAAAGACTGGGCCCAGCATGTGGAAAAAATGCAGTTTTTATCTGGGCAGATGGCATTGTGCAGATGAAAAGCAACGAGTAATTCTCCTGACAACTTGTGGACCCATAGCCTTTTCAGTTATTAGAAGCCTAATGTTTCCTGAGGCACCAGATACTAAACCTTTCAGGAGTTGATAGATTTAGTTAAGGAATATTACAACCCAAGCCTCCTCTAATTCTGAGACACTGACGGTTTTATTCGGCAGCTCCAGAACCAGGGGAATCTGTGTTGGGATTTTTGATGAGGCTAAGATGACACACAGAGGCATGTGACTTTGGTTTAAGCCATAATTTGTTTTATTCATTCACAAAATGAGAGCATCACTGGCTAGGTCAGCATTTATTGACCATTTCTTATTGCTCAGAGGGCAATTAAGAGTCAACCATATTGTTGTGGGTCTGGAGTAACATGTAGTTTTCATTCGTAAAGAACATTAGTGAGCCAGATGGGTTTTTGTGACAATTGACAATGGTTTTGTCGTCATCATTAGACTCCTAATTCCAGATTTTTATTGAATTCAAATTCCAGATCTCTCGTGGCGGGATTTGAACCTGGGTCTCTGAATTAACAGTCCACCAGTAGTACCATTAGGCCATTGCCTCCCTTTAATGAGATGCTGAGAGACTGTTTCACATGGGGGAGGTGATGGCCTAGTGGTATTATCGCTGGACTGCTAATCCAGAGACCGAGACAACATTTCTGGGGACCTGGGTTTGAATTCTGCCATGGCAGGTGGTGAATCAATAAATACCTGGAATTAAGAATCTAATGATGATCATGAATCCATTGTAGATTGTCAGGAAAAACCCATCTGGTTCACTAATATTCTTTAGGGAAGGAAACTGCCATCCTTACCTGGTCTGGCCTCCATGTGACTCCAGACCCACAGCAAAATGGTTGACTCTTAACAGCCCTCTGGGCAATTAGGGATGGGCAATAAATGCTGCCTTGCAGCAACGCCCTGACCCCGTGAATTAATAAAGGAAAAAAAAATGTAGGATTAATGATATAACCATGCAAAAGTGCCTACTAGCAGAAGGCCAACTGGATTTCAAACAGGCACTACAACTAACTTTGTCATTAGAAAATGCATCAAGTGGAGCATATATGTTACAGGGTGTGCCAATGGAAGCGGACACTCACGCCAGGTCGACTGAGCTTAGGGGACACCACTTGAGTGAAAATAATTGCGTTGCCTCACTCAGGACACTGCCTGAACAGAGACAGATTCATTGCCAGCCCTCTGCAAAACTCCAAAACAAAACCAACCCTTGGCCAAACAGTTAACATTTTCTTCAGGATCTAGGCTGGCAAGCCATTACAGTTGCTGCTGGTACGCGGACTCGAGCCAGGAGAGTGCACAGCCTGGAAAGCCCACCTACATCTGGCTTGGAACAATTAAATTGCTTACGAACAGCCAAATTAGAACCAGCCAAAATAAACATCTGGTAAATGGCCACCTAGTTCTAATAGAGATTGACACCAGCGTGGCTGTATCACTGATTGTAGAACCAGTCTTTAACAAAATTTGCTCAGGACTCCAATTCTTAAGTTTGTGTAATACCTCAGCTAGACTGAGAAACCAATACTGGGAACCTTTACAGATTAAACAAATGACTTTGGTTCTGGCCTGTTTTGAGAAATAGCTGGTTTAGTTTTCACTAATTGTAGTAAGAGGCTTGAGCCTAAGCCTGATAGGGTGAAATTGATGAAGCAAGATTCACCTTGATTGGCTCAACATTTTTCGTTTGGAAAATGGCTGCCTGAGCGAAGTCCTAATTAAGTATCCGGAGGTCAGCCATAGATCATGAGTTCCCTGACTGGGTTTGTTAACCTGGTCCAGTCAGGAAACCCTGGCTGACCGATATAAACAGGGCTGTCAGCAGTTCTGTTCATTGTGAGAGCTGGTTCTGAGGAAACTGGACCACTGTCAAGTGCTGTACTTGTGTAATTAAAAGGTGACTTGGTGACAGCATATCAGCCTCTGTGGAATTATTTCATTATTACCCTTGTTCGAGCTTCCCTAATTTTGTGGTTTATACTGTGATTTATTTCTGTTGTTTTGTGACCTATAAACAACTCCCACCAGTGTTGCCCATTGTTTTTTTTTTATTCCAATCAAACCAATTCTACCCCTTAAACTTTAGAGACAAGGTAATTGATTCTTACTACAGTGCCATTATGCTCTTTAATTAACAGATTCCCTAGCAACTTTCCCAGCTTCTTCACCTTCCTGAATGTTACGCCCTTGAATATTTAAGACTCAGCTTTAGTCTTCTCGTGCCTCCATCTTGGTAATGTTGCCAGGTTATATATATAATTTTCTATTTGAGCTGACAATTCATCTGCATTATTGAGAATGTATCACCAAATTCTGCAGTGGAGCCCTAAAGACAGTTTTGTTACTGTGAGTTTTTGTAAACTTAATCCTATCTTCTGGCGCATTCTTAAATTCACGATCACTGTCTCTTCCTGCCATATTCTGATTATCATTATATTTATTGTTATGTTGATCTGTTCCTTTATCATTTCACTTTAATTTACCCAGTTTGCCCCATCATGACCTCTTCTCCCTTTTATTTAGTTTAAATCCCTCTCTACTTCCTTATTGATATGACTAGCTAGAGCACAGGCCCCAGCATGTTTTATGTGAAATCCATACCATTGTGACAGCTCTCACTTTTCCCGTTATTTCTGTCAATACCCCACAACTGAACCTTGGCACCAGGCAGGTAACACAACCTTTTGAATTCTCATTAATAGCTATAGAAGTCTGTCTATCTACCAGGCTGTACTGTTTTCCTACTACCATATATTCCTTTCATCTCACCTCATTTGAGTGCTTTTGTGTACCAAGGTGCCACAGCCAGTCTATTTATCCACAATACAGTCCTTGTTCTTATCCATACAAACTGCAAGAACTTCAAACTTGTTGTTCAGTTACGAGAACTGAGGCTCCTGTACGCCCAAATTCTCAACTCCCCTGTGAAGGGAAAAAGTAGATAGTATAGGTTTTCTGGTCTTCGCAAAGTCTATACTGCTGCTAGAAGATGTAAACGTGTAATGATGTGATTGGATAATGTAATCACTTGTATTATTTCGAATATAATTGGATAGTATAGTCATGTGTACGAACTTGAAATGTGAACAATGCAAACACAATCAGGTAGAGATAGGGATGAGTAAATGGTGGGCTTTTGAGAATTATTATTTGCAGGAATAGTTGATTGGAAGTTTTTTATTTGTAAAAATAAATAAAATCTTCTGTTCTTCTAATAAAGATTAGAGCTGTACGCCATTCTCATGGTGTGTCTGTCTCCCATGCAAGCATGAATGAACATTCAATAAGGAAAATTGAGTCTTGACTGGTGTAAGAAGACCTGAAGGATTAAATTCACCCTTTCACCCTGCTTGCCTAACTTGTCATCATATCTCTCTGTGTCTGATCACTGACCAATGGGTGTGACTGCCTTCTGGAAAAAGTATCTGGGTAATTTTCCACTTGCCTGAAGCACCATGACATGTGCAGTTCCACCTTCACTGACATTAATGCCCACATTTTGTAAAAGAATATGAAATAAATGGGACTTTCATAGAGAATCAGATCAAGAAAGTATTTTAGGAAAGTATTTTATACTTCTAATTTAGATGGAGTAACTATGCTTTCATAAACTGGCTGTCTTTTCTGTGCATGTGTTCTTAATTTAAGAGCTAACACCCTAATTGTGTGGGGAGAAATGAAAATAATGGTTATTAGCCATAAGAAAATAATAAGTGAGAGTGGCAATTCTTGTCCCTTTTACCCAAAAACACCAAGCAAGGTTTTTTGAATAGTAGAGCATGAGTCAACAGGAATATTTGATTGAAGTGTAACAGAATTTTCCCAATCTGCAGGGCATTATACTTTTGCCACAAAAAGTCAGACGGACTGGAGAAAGCAGAAGCTGTGAGAGACCGAGCGGAGCTGAAAAACAAACTGGATGAATATAAAGAACTGAATAAGGTTGACTTCAAAATCCACATGGTGCTATCCGTACCTGTAAATTACAACGAAGATTTTGTCGAATTGACTTCTCAGCCTGGATCTATTGAATGGTGAAAGTAAAGTTGTGCAATAATGGGTTCACAGGCAATTCAGCTTTGTCTGTCTGCAATGGATATATATAGCCTCAAGTAAATATTGAACTTAGTAGCATGTTCTGACTTTTTGCAATGAATGTTAATAATCAGGGCATGATTTATTTGGATTAAATTATGTCAACAAAGTAAAAATTGAAAACAAACTGTGCACTTTTAAAACTGTACTTATCCCTTTTATGCCTCCCATGTATTCTATCAGCCAAAAAAAAATCTGTATTGTAGACAGGCCCTTAGTCATAATCAGTGCTACTCTGAATGAATTCTAGGTGACATGCTCTGCAGTAATCTAGTCATCTTTTTGTGTTAGCAATTATGAAGAGGGCTGTAGATGTGAATGTTATGCATATCAATAGATGGAACCATTCAGAACATGGGAAACAAAAGTATCTGTAACTTTCAGATGATGACCTGAAGTCATAAATTGAAGCCAATCTTCAACACAAAACGGCATAAATGCAACAAAACTAAGTTATTTTTACTTACGTAGAACGTATAAAATAAAGAAACCGTGCAGCTAATTATTCCTGTTTGGGCATGTTTAATAATTCAGTTTCATGCTTTAGGTTTCATAGATATCGAAAATTTAACTTGTTTCCTGCAGGTGCAATGCATTTGACAATATAGTTTTTGTTTGGTTGAATAGAGGAAAATGAATGTACCTAAATGATGTAAATGTACCCTGCCAGCTTTGTACAATTTTTAATTCTTTCAAATATGCATGCCCAAATTACTTTAATGTCCACCTTGTTAGTTCTGTGGATTTGAAAATAATTAGATAGTTTCTCACTTTACATCCAACATAAACTTGAGCTCATCCAAAACTCTGGTATCCTTATCCTAATTCATACCAGGTCCAATATCCCTCATTTCTGTACTCACTAATCTATGTTGGCTCCTACACTTCACAGTAGGTGTAATTAAAATTATTTAAAATTCTCAACCTTCTTTCTCATCCCTCCATCTGTTTGTCCTCCCGATTATTGAAATTCCTCCCATCCTCTAAATCTCTGAGCTTCTTCAAGCATTTTTCATATCCTTGATTTTAATCACTTCTCTGTTGGCAGCTGTGCCTTCCACGACCTAAGCCTTAAATTCTGGAATTTTTTTCTGAAAAATCTCTCCTTTAACATGCTCCTTGAAACTACCACTTTAATTATCCCAATATTTTTTCTTTGTTGTGATTGGGCAAATTTTGTTTCATAATCTCCTGTGAAGCACCTTGTAAGATTTTACTATGTTGAAGAAACTGTATGTAATTTGAATGTATATGTGAAATGCATATACATTTAGAATGAAATTCTATTAAAGCCACCTCTAAATAGTTAATGTCTCTGCTGGTACCTGTGTATTGATTTTTCACAATGATGTTATGACAACTGTAATAAAAAGCCTCTTGCTTCAAGCTCAGGCTGGAGAGAGCAAACCTAAAGCACAATTCAGACCAAAATTAAAACAGAAATTGCTGGGGAAACTCAGCAGATCTGGCAGCATCTGTGGAGAAAAAGCACAGTTAGTGTTTCAGGTCCAGTGACCCTTCTTCAGAACAAATCAAAATTGGTTTGAGTGACGAGGCTTCATATCTTCACATGACATAGGAATACAAAAGCCTTGCATAAAAAAAGACTGTGGATGCTGGAAATCAGAAACAAAAACAGAAATTGCTGGAAAAGCTCAGCAGGTCTGGCAGCAGCTGTAGAGAGAAAGCAGAGTTAACGTTTCAGGTCCAGTGACCCTCCTTCAGCCTTACATAAAAGCTTTGAAGATTGATAGCTTTGTTACAACTATACTGCTATTTTCCCACACTTGATAACTTTACTGCTTCTGTTAAAGGTTTTGTTTTGAAAGTTCTTTTCTCTTTGTTCATAGTGATTCAGCTATAATTGACTGTCATTTTCATCTGTAAACACTTGCTTGAGAGAGATGTGTATTTGAGGTTGAGACAGAATAGCGAAGTGCAGCTACAGCAGCATTGTTTCTGGTTTTATAATTACAGTTTTGAATTAAGCTATTGTACTGTTGGCCCAGAAATGGCTTTCTAGAAAATAGTTTTATGAAGGTCCATAATATATTGTTATTATTAGAACTTGAGTTCTAAAGTGGAGCAAAAATGGACCTTAGTTTGTAAGTTCGGTAAAGATCTGACTTTTGTTAAAGGTCAGAAAGTCATTTGACCATTGACTCCAAAAACAGCATTTATAAGAAATCCAGCGAATCACAGCAAAAACTGGAGGAGCAACGTCTCATCTTCAGACTAGGCACTTTACAACCTTCTGGGCTCAATATTGAGTTCAACACCTTCAAATTGAGAACCCATTCTTTCCCTTTCTTTTGGCTTTGCTTATTACATTCTCTGCCACCATGTCCTCTCTCCCTTCCCCTCACCCTAGTGAACCTATCTGTTCTCTCCAGTCTGACAGTTAAATGTACCATTGTTTTGCCATTCTCACATTCTGAGCACTTAATCTGAACTATCAACATCTTTCCTCCCCCAGCACTCCAACTTCCACCCCCACTATAGAATAAACGCTGCCCCTCCACACTTCTCGTCAGCTCTGATGAAGAGTCACCTAGACCAAAACGTTAGCTTACTTTTTCTCTATGGATGCTACCTGACCCGCTGTGATGAACAGTAAGATGCCTAAAGAGATAATTGTTTGCTGACTTGAATTTTACAACAAACATAGAGAGAGTAAAAGTCAGAAGCAGGCTCATGCAGGGGTAAGCGGCCCATAACAAAGACAACATAATTAAGGTAATAATATAATTAAAACTCATGAAGGATGGAATTTCAGGCAATGAGTCAAAGTTGCAACAATTGGGAGCTTCTCAATACCATCACAATCCAGTGCAAACATCTGCAATAAGCAACTCAGGATAACACTGTTAATGTGGTATACATGGATTTCCAGAAGGTGCTTGATTTAATGGCACACAACAGACTTGTGAGGAAAATTATAGGTCATGGTGGAAAAGCGACAATATCAACAAGGATACAAAATTGGCTCAGTGATGGGAAACAAGAATAATGGTCCATGGATATTTTCCAGGCTGAGGGAAAGTTTATAATGGAGATCCCCAGAGGTCGGTATGAATAGACTATTTAGTCCTTTGAGCCTGTTCCACCATACACTGAGATCGTGGCTGATCCATAGTGTATATCTGCCTTTGGCTGATATACCCTAGTACCTTTGCTTAACAAAAACTTATCTATCTCAGATTTAAAACTGGAAACTCTTTGAGCCGCAACAGCTAAACAACAAAAAAAGGATTGTGAACACCTGAAATCTGAAACAAAAAAGAAAATTGCTGGAGTAACTCAGCAGATCTGGCAGAGCAAAGTTAATATTTCAGGTCCAGTGACCCTTTTTCAGAACACCATTAGAGGATGAAATATTCCAGTAATTGCTATAAAACAGGAGGTGGAAAGGAGAGAGGAATTTGGTGAAATTACAATCACGAGGGAAGTAGTACTAAATAAATTGAAGGAGCTATAGGATTACAAGCCTCCTGCTCCAGATGGATTTCATTCTAGGGTCTCAAAAGAGGTCGCAAATGAGGCAGTAGATGCATTGATGTTAATTTTCAAAAATTCCACTGGACTGGAAAGTAGAAAATAAAACTTCCTTTCAAGATGAGCGGGGGGCAGGAAACAGGCCAGTTACAAAAACAGAAATTTGCTGGATAAGCTTAGCAGGTCTGGCATCATCTGTGGAGAGAAATCAGAGTTAATGTTTCTGTCACTTTGTCTGGCATGTGAAGTTGTTAAAATCAACTATTGAAGAAATAATATCTGCACATTTTGAAAAATACAGCGTATATCGGAAGAGTCAGAATAGTCTCATCAATGGAAATCATGTGTTACCAATTTATTGGAGTTCTTTTAAAGGAGTAATATGTGCCGAGGATAAAGGGAGCCTATAAACTTGGATTTCCAGAAGGCTGTTGATAAGTACACAATGTTGCTGTTGAACACTGGTGGTGGCGGCAGTGGATTCTTGTGGATGTGGTGCCGATTTGTCCTGGATGGTATCAAGCTGCTTGAGTGCTTTTGGAGCTTCACCCATCTAGGCAAATGGGGAGTATTTCATCACACTCCTGACTTGTGTCTTGTAGATGGCAGTCAGAAGGGAGGGAGTTACTAGCCACAGTATTTCTTACTTCTGACCTGCTGTTGTAGCCATTGTTTATGTGGCAAGTCCAGTTCAGTTTCTGATCAATAGTAATCTTCAGGATGTTGATAGTAGGGGATTCCCACAAGCCAGGGGGCAGCCGGGAAGGTAAGCTTTTCCTTACAAAAACTTACCTCGTGAGGCAGCGGCCTAATTGCTTTCAGCGGCGGGAGTGGTGAGAGCGCGAGCCGGGAAGTGAACTTTTATATTCGGGCATTGTCTAAACCCGAAACACTACACGTATAGTGTCTCCCACCCAATCTCCTCCTCTAATCAAAAAAAATAGACTGTGTGGAGGGTCGGTAAGGTAAGGTTTTTTTTTTCTCTATTCATTTGGCAATCTAGAGTAGAGGGAATGGAAACTAGGGCAGTTGCATGCTCCTCTTGTAGGATGTGGGAGGTAAGGGTCACGACTGGTGTCCCTTCTGACTTCACCTGCAAGAAGTGCACCCAACTCCAGCCCCTCACAGACCGCGTTAGGGAACTGGAGCTGGAGCTGGATGAACTCTGGATCATTCAGGACACTGAGGGGGTGATAGAGAGGAATTATAAGGAGGTGGTCACACCCAAGGTACGGGAAAAAGGTAGCTGGGTGACTGTCAGGAGGGGGAAAGGGAATAGGCAGACAGTGCAGGGATCCCCTGTGGCTGTTCTCCTCAATAATAAGTATACCACTTTGGGTACTGTTGGAGGGTGGACCTACCAGGGGAAAGCCATAGCGGCCAGGTCTCTGAGGTCACAGAGCCTGGCTGTGTGGCTCAGAAGGGAAGGGGGGAGAATAGGAGAGTGATAGTGATAGGAGATTCACTGGTTAGGGGAACAGACAGGAGATTCTGTGGTACTGAGTGAAACTCCTGGATGGGATGTTGCCTCCCGGCTGTCAGGGTCAGGGATGTCTTGGATCAAGTCTTCAGGATTCTTAAGGGGGAGGGAGGGCAGCCAGAAGTCGTGGTACACATCGTTACCAATGACATAGTTAGGAAACGGGATGAGGACCTGAAAAATGAATATAGGGAGTTATGATGGAAGCTGAAAGCCAGGACGAGCAGAGTAGTAATCTCAGGATTACTACCAGTGCCACGGGCTAGCAAGGCCAGAAACAGAGAGAGACCGCAGCTGAACACGTGGCTACAGAGCTGGTGTAGGAGGGAGGGCATCAGGTTTGTAGATCATTGGGATACCTTCTGGTGAAGGTGGGACCTGTACAGGAAGGACAGGTTGCACCTGAACTGGACGGGCACTAATATCCTGGGCGGGAGGTTTGCTAGAGCTCTTTGGGAGGGTTTTAACTAGTTTGGCAGGGGGATGGGAACCGGAGCTACAGATCAGAGGATGGGGGAGCCGGTTTACAGACAGATAGAGCAAGCAGAGAATCTATGAGGAAGGATAAGCAGTTGATAGGGCAAAGTGGCAGTGAGTGTGACGGGTTGCACCTCCCCCACCTCTTTTACCTCCCTCCCTATTTCTTTTGAAACATCTATACCCCAGAACATCCGACAACCATTCCTGTCCCTGTGTTATCCAAGTTTCCATAATGGCTATAACATCGTAGTTCCAAGTACTGATCCATGCTCTAAGTTGGTCACCCTTATTCCTGACCCTTCTTGCACTGAAGCAAGACCCCCCCCATAGCAACAGAAAACCTGAGGAACAGATGGGAGACAGATTTTGGAAAGGTGCAGAAGTAATGGGGTTGTTGTCATGGGTGAGTTCAACTTCCCTAATATCGACTGGAACCTCCAAAGTGCAAATAGTTTGGATGGAGCAGATTTTGTCAGGTGTGTCCAGGAAGGATTTCTGCCTCAATATGTAGATAGGCCGACTAGAGGGGAGGCCATATTGGATTTGGTGCTTGGCAACGAACCAGGCCAGGTGTCAGATTTCTTGGTGGGAGAGCATTTCGGTGATAGTGATCACAACTCCCTGACATTTACTATAGTCCTGGAGAGGGATAGGAGCAGACGGTATAGGGAAGTATTTAATTGGGGGAGGGGTAATTACAATGCTATTAGGCAAGAACTATGGAGCACCAATTGGGATCAGATGTTCTGAGGGAAATGCACGATAGAAATGTGGAGGTTGTTTAGGGAGCAGTTGCTACAGGTACTGGATAGGTTTGTCCCACTGAGGCAAGGAAAGGATGGTAAGGTGAAGGAA